GTTCCTCATGAGCACAATTAAAGTGTTCTGGAATACTCCTTCTCCACAATGTTTGCTATGATTCACACAATCAAATACCTTTGCATAGTCAATAAAGCACAAGTGACATCTTTCTGGTATCCTATGCTTTCAGCCAAGATCCACTTGATGTCAGCAGTGATATCCTTCATTCCACATTCTCTTCTGAATCTGGCTTGAATTTCTGGCAGCTCCTTGCCAATGTGCAGCTGCAATCACTGAATTGTCTTCAGCAAAACTTTACTTGCCTATGTTATAAATGATACTGTTTAATGGTAGCCACAGTCCGTTGGGTCACCTTTCTTTGGAATGGTTACAGATAATGGATCTTTTCTAACTGGTTGGCTAGGTAGCTGTCTTCCAAATTTCTTGGTATAGATGAGTGAGCACCTTCAGCACTGAATCAGTTTGTTGAAAGAGTTCAGTTTGCGTTCCATCAGTTCCTGGAGTCTTGTTTTTTGCTAATGCCTTCAGTGCAGCTTGAACTTCCTCCTTTAGTATCATTGATTTTTTTTTTAAAGATTTTATTGTGAATTGAGTTATAGTTTACATGGGAGAACATAGGTTTTGCAATGATTACAATCTCCTCCATGCATTATCATTCAACAGTATTTGCTTCAATTCCATCTGTGTTTTTTTTTTTTTTTTCAAAACCAACAACTTATTCATTGTGAACAACATAAAAGGTGGCCATACACCTGGCCCTCAACAGACAGAATACACAGGGGTCAAATTGACTACATCTGTGAGAAGAAAGCATGGAGAAGTTCAATATCATCAGTCAAACAGGGCCAGGGAACAACTGTGGAACAGGTCATCAATTGCTAATATGTAATTTCAGCCTAAAGGTGAAGAAACTCAGAGCAAGTCCATGAGAGCCAAAATATGACTTTGGATGTAACCACCTGAATTTAGAGACCATTTCAAAAACAGATTTGATGCACTAATGCACACTAATGACTGAAGACCAGAAGATCTGTGGGATAACATCAAGAATAGCAAACATAAAGGTGGCAAACGGTTGTTAAAAAGACAGGAAATAAATTCAGAATTCATTAAAATATTTTAAAAACTTGTTAAAACTATTTTTGTCAAGAAAATTTAAAATATATGCTAAAAATTGGTATTTCTTTAAATTTTTATAAATGGAGAACTGAATTTATATTTCTTTAAATTTGAGAGGATTTGTTTTTACTAAACATTAATAAAATAAATTTTGTAATAGTTTAACAGAAAACTTTTCAAGGGGAAATATTAGTTAAGACAGGTTTAAACAGCTGATGGAATGAAAACTGCTCATAATAAACAAAACAATTGGACAGATTTTTGGGTAGTACAGAGGTTAAATGATCAGCTTCTAACCAAAAGGTTGGTATTCTTGCCCATCCAGAGGCACCTCAGGAGAAAGGACTAGTGATCTTTTCAAAACACTATGAAGCACAGTTCTACTCTGACACACATTGGTTGCCATGTGTTGGAGTCAACTCAATGGCAATGGTTTTAGATAACAAACAGGAGATAAAAAATTACCACTCATAAGTTTTAAGATATTATTTGTACATACTGTTTGTATTCTGCTGCATAAACATAGATTCCAGATTACAGAAACACTATCTCAAAGCATGTCATAATACTTACTATAGTGTCATGCCGACCAATGACTTCAAATGAGAAGTCCACCCCTCCATTGTTCATTTCCATTAGCACCTTATGGATGGGTTTCTTGAAGTCCTGTGGGTTGATGCATTCAGTGGCCCCCAACTCTTTGGCCTTTGCAAATTTGTTTTTGTTGATGTCCACCCCAATGATCCTGGCTGCTCCTGCTGCCTTACAGCCCATGATTACACATAGGCCTACTCCTCCAAGGCCAAACACGACACAAGTGGAGCCTTTGGTGACCTGTGTTTGCAGAAAACATGAGCAGTGATTAATTATGATTGTTAGGAAGATACTTAATTGTAAAAAGTTCCAGACTTTGTCCACTATGAGGAGCTGCTTGGACTCTTGTGTCCACCCTGCTGTCCACCCTTTTTGTCCTTCCATGGCTTTATGTTTAGATTAAGGAGATTAAACTAGAACAGGGGTTCTCAAACTTTGCTGCACATCAGATTCATCTAAGAAGGTTTAAAAACCCCACTGCTCACAAGCTAGGTAGAACCTAGTCATCAGTATTTTTAAAAACTTCCCATGTGCCTCCAATAAATAGCCCAATTTGGGACCCAGTACGCTAGATGAGCTCAGTGGTCTCAGTTTTGAAGATCTCAGTGTCTCAAATCCAGTGATATTTACCTTCAGTTCATCAAACATACAGAAAGGCATTTTTTTGTGTGTGGTGGGGGAGGAGGGGAAATGAAATAAGTAAAAATGTTGTTCCAAAAGACTTTTAAAAATCAAATAAAACCACCAATAATTAATTCCCCTTTGTTCATTAATTTTCAATTGTTGTTATTAAGTGTCATTGAGTCAGTTCTGACCCACAGAGACCCTGTATATGGTTTCCTAGGAGCTGCTGATGATTTGAAACACGATCCTTACAGTTCAAGCCAACATTGAAGTCCAATGCATTAACCTAAATCGCCACACCAGGACTCCAACTGTAGGTAGTAATAGGCAATATCAGGAGAGCAGAAAGTACCTGTGAAACCTAGAAAGAGTTATCTTCAGTTTAAAGTAAAACCACTTAACTGGGGGGATTCAATAAGTAACCTCAAGGTAATACAGCTTGCAACCTGTGTGATCTTAGCAGCCTCCCTCCTTTTGCTTTTAAAAATATTCATGAAAAGTTGGTCTACTTTTTAATAGTAAATAAAACTTATTATTATGATTGATCTCAGCATCTG